GGCTCAGGCTCGTTACCGAGCATAGCGTGTGCCTCGAAATGATCATAATCATATGAAGGCTGCCCGATAACATTTCGCATGGCCGTGTGATTAGGCTGCAGCCCCGCCGCCTGGAGACCCCATCCCGGCGGAGGGAGAGCCTGTCCGCGCAAGGAGATGGCCCTTTCGAGGGCTTGGCGCCATCTCCCTCTGGAATACCACACATGTCGTTGCACGTCCTCAGGGTGCACGCTGTCGATGAGAGTAAGGGCCGCTAACACTAACTCCGAGTCGTCACAGGCATCGGTGTCTTGTAGTATCATGTGGCCACTCTCGACACTCTCTTGACTCTCGGGATATGCTGCGACCAGTACAGCGTGCATCTGCATGAGAGTCTGCAGCATCGCGTGCGGTCAGGTCAGTGCTCGCCTGGGGCGAGCATGCCAGGTGGTACGTGTGGGTTTCCTGGCACGCCCACAGTAAATGCTTGAGCCTCTAGTTCCACCAGATCACCATAATTTGAAGGATATACTGGAAGTGGGCCCGTTGCCAGGCATGAGGTCGGGTTGACGTCGAAGGTTGTGGTCAACCTCCGAAGGCGAGGCCTCAACAGTGACTTCCTCGTCACTGCTCTCGTAGGCCATGATGTTGCCTGGATTGCCGAACATCCATTCGAAGAAAGAAAGGGGCTGGTTTCCCAGCGCTCCGTTCCCCACAGGCGCAAGCTCGATACTTCCGAGAACAAGCCTGCGGAGGTAATCGAGGTAGTAAGCGTAAAGCCCATGGCCGTGCGCCTCGAGCTCATCCAAATTGTCCGTACTGCTAGCCCAAGTGAAAATATTTGTTCCACAGCCTCAAAGTCTCGGAGGCTCAGATATTCCATAGACGGTTCACTTGAGCCTAAATGGACTTCGGTCGATCTACCCCTGCCATTTCCCTTCGCTGGACAGTCCTTTACAATATGTTCGGTACTAGCACACTCATGGCACTTCAGGACCTGGCCATCTCTACCTCGCGGGTTTCCCCGCCTGCCCTTACCTTTTCCCGAGGTGTCCCCGCGGCCTTTTCCACGGCCTTTTCCACCGGAAAATATCTCATCATACTGATCATCTGAAAGCCTCTGGAATAAAGCCGTGATGCCTCGTCCGTTCAACCTTCGGCGACCCCGTTTGCCTTTATCTTTTCCTTTGCAGCTCCTCCGTATCCTCCTTCTAACACGACGCACTGGTTTTCGTGTGAACCTCCTCCACCTCCGCTTTGCCTGTTGTAATAACCAGAACAGGTGCTCGGCACGCTGATTGCCACCTTCCATGTGCATGATGTCTGACCAATCTAAGGGTTCGACACCACCTGATGATATGGTGTCGGTGTCGGTGCCGGAGTCGAAGTCGTCGTTGCCTAGGTAGGTGGATACACCGTCGTTTAGGGGATTCGCTTCACCCCATAGGGAACGGTGTGGTTGAGGTTCTCTAGGAGGAGGGCTGGTCGCCCAGCTTGGTTGCAATCGATCCCCTGTTAGTAGGGCAGTAGATTCTCCAGGATCGTCGGCCCATATGCTTGAGGGCCCGTTGCCAGGCTGAGCTTCAGTGGTTAAGGTAGTGTAGAAATTTCCACTGCCAGTTCCCCTTCCCCTTCCAAATACTGATCCTATGTTGCCAGGAGACCGTTCTGACAAATGGCCGACCGAACGCATCCTCTCACACAACTCGTCATACTGTTATTGTGTTCGGGGCATTTGGTGGTTGAGTGGCTGTAAGAGTTGCATGGCTCGCTGGCTGCCAACGCCTAGGGCGCGGAACCGGATAGTAGTGAGCAGTTGGAAGTTGGGAAGGTCAAGCCCCACCGACTGTGCCTCAAGACGGGCTATTTCGAATCGAGTAAGGGTTACATTGATTCGTTATCCGAGAGGCACATGAAAGTCGATGAGCTGGGTGCCTGAAGTGAGCTGGCGCTCATCTTCCAGGCGTTCGAACTTCATGCTTAGGAGGAACATAATATAGGTTACTGGGTCGGTGTGGACACCATCGATGTCCGCCCCTTATTTTAAGATGTCGGGTGGTACTCTCATGGCGAGTGTCCTCGCTAGGCCGCCCAGGCCGCGTTGTATGGCGGCTGCTTGGGCTTGAGGCGTCATGCGTCCGCTTGTGACGTTAAGCCACGCGTTGACCTCATAAACGTATTCGCGGAAAGGTACGTTGCCTTGAGGGTCCCAGTATGGGCCATGTGTTTGACCTTCTGTGCTGTTGTCTCCTCGGCGCATGTGTCTGATTGCTGCCCCCAGCGCAAACCATATGATGGCGAAGATAACCAACCCAAGGCTGTGAAGATATGGGTGGTTATCAGGCGCATTGCCGCGCTGGGGTAGGGCTTGTAGCGCCTTGTCAAGTCTACGAGGCGCTTTATCTTGCGGGTCTCCCCGCCTCTGCTTCAAGTGCTGCGCCTTTGGCTCGTTGCCGAGCGGTTGGTAATAGCGTAGTGATGAAGCGTATATGGTACCCATGTTGTTGTCTAGACGTCGTACCTCTCGTGTTGCTTCTTGCTCTTGAATTGATCCTCGTAGGTGTAGTTGGAATGGTGGCGCAGGGTGGTAATTACTCACGAAGATCGTGCCGGATAGCGTGAGGATAAAAAGAGCAAGAGCTGACCACACGAGAGTGCGGCCAGCTCCGCTACCAAGTCTGAAATGACGACGGTAAGTCGAATAGCATCCAATTCCATGCTGTGTTAGTTCAGTATGGGGAGTGGATGGATTACATAGGATAAGATCGATGTAGTGATCTTTCCAGCACATAGCGAACACAAGCAGTGTCCGGGCAAATAGGGCGCGCGTGCCTTGAGCCGAAGGCAACGGCGCGCGGGCTATACTCCCGATCCTCTATAACATCTTCCAAAGAGCTACCCTTAAAGTGGCTGTACTCCCTCCTCTCTCGGAGCCCAGAAATTCGAGCCAAACCACGTCGCGTCCAGCATATTGGAACCCCGAATTGCAAGGATGTTTCAGGCGAAACGAGCTGTACCACCTCGCGCGCATTTTCTCAGAGCCCAGTTACGAGGATGTCGCACGCGAAACTGGCTGTACCACCTCGCACACATTTTCTGGGAGCCCATAGTTGCGAGGATATCTCACGCAAAACAGGCTGGACCACCTCGCGCGCAGCATCTCGGTGCCAAGAGTTGCGAGGATGTCGCAAGCGAAACGGGCTGGAGTACCTCACGCGCAGCATGTCGTAGCCAAGAGTTGTGCGGATTTCTCAGGCGAAGCGCGCCAAACTTCCGCCCGCACGACACCTTCCAGAGCTGCGAGACATCTCGGAACCCCGAATTGCGAAGCTGTCTCAAGCGTAACGGGCTAGACCACTATGCGCACACTTTCTCAAAGCTCAAGAGTTGCGAGGATGTCCCAAGCAAACATTAACCTCAGGAAGGCATTCAGAAACCCCCCTGGGTTATTCTTAGCACCCGGTTTTCTCAATATTCCAGGCGGGCAGTTTTAGCCGAACGATACACTTAGCACCCGCCGCGCACAGAAAACAAAATCCACCATCGGCGGCCGCCCCACTAACGCCAAGAGAGGGTGTCGTCGACGACGACGACGACGACGACGACGACGACGACGACGACGACGACGACTTGGCCCTGCTAAACTGCTTGGCAGGAGCAAATCTGCGCTTGGCAGGCCTTAGCTAGGCCCCGAGTCCCCTCAGCCAGGTCTTCCGGTGCGGCCATAACGCTCCAGGGTGCGGGGGCGTTATAATCCACCGGAAAAGGGGGGGGGGGTTCTTAATGCCTTACTGAGGTTATTCGGGGATGGACAGACCCCCTTTAGCAAAACGTGGTTTAGTGAAAACGATCAGAGGCCCAAACCTGGCGGGCGCAAGCCTGGAAACTAACGGCCACGGCGCCCTCTCGAAAACCGAAAACGGACAATTCACTAATCGACGTGTCACTGTTGGGGGTTCTGTCCACCCCCGAATTATCTCAGATCCTAGAACTGCGAGGGTGTGTCAGCCGGAACGGGCTGGACCACCTCTCGCGCGGCATCCCGGCGCGCCGAATTGCGACGATGTCTCAAGCGAAACGGGCCAGACCACTTCGCGCGCAGCATCTCGGAGTCCAGAGCTGCGAGACTGTCTCGGGCGAAAGGCGCCAGACCACCTCGCGAGCGGCATCTCGGAGCCCAGAGTTGCGAAGATGTCTCGGGCGAAACGAGCCAGACTTCCTCCCGCGCGGCGTCGTGGAGCCGAGAGTCGCGAGGATTTCTTACGCGAAACGCGCCGACCACCGCTCGCGCGGCATCTCGGAGCCCAGAGTTACCAGGATGTCTCAATCGAAACGCGCCGGACAACCTCTCTCGCAGCATCTCGTAGCCCGTAGTTGCGAAGATGTCTTAGACGAACTGGGCCAGGCCACCTCGCGCGTGGCATCTCAGAGATCAGAGATGCGAGGATGTCTCAAGCGAAACGCGAGGATCAATTCGCGCGCGGCATCTCAAAACTCAGAATTGCGAGAATATCTAAGGCGAAACGCGCCGGACCACCTCTCGCGCAGCGTCTTGGAGCCCAGAGTTGCGAGGATGAATCAGGTCAGACGCGTCAAACAGCCTCTCGCGCAGCTCCTCGGAGCCCAGGAAGGTGAGCATGCCTCACGCGAAGCGTGCTGGGCCACCTCGCGCGCAGCACCTCGGAGCCCCAAACTGCGAGGGCATCTCGAGCGAAGCGGGGCAGACAATCTCGCGCGGCATCTCGAAGCGCCCGATTGCAAGGATGTCTCGAGCAAACTACGCAGCATCACCTCTGCCGCGGCATCTCGGAACCAAGGACTTGCGAGGCTCTCTGGCGAGACGCGCTGGAACACCTCGCGCGCTGCACCGCGGAGCTCAGAGATTCGAGGATGCCGGAGGCGAAAAGACGCCCATTCCCGGCCAATTCGGAGATCAATTGCGAGGATGTCTCAGGCGAAACGGCCTGGACCAAATATTTGTTGTTGGGCATGTCTCTGCCTCAGCCTCCCTCGGCCGAAACTGGCGTCCGTCACAACAGCACCCCGTCCAGCAAAGTCTGAGGAATCCGAAACGAATCTGCCCAGCTATTGCTGGAAACGTGTCTGCGGCGTCCACGCGCCATTCCTGAAAATGGTTCGACTCAGAGAATGTCTCACAATTTGGAAGGCTCGGGGGATCCGCTTAGGGCAACCTCTCCTCTTGGGCGCGAGTGAATCTGGCAGTGCATGACACAAGACTGCGGACCTGCCCCAAAGCTGCCAGACATCAGCCCCAATAGCAGAGCTGCAATCTTCTCCAAGCTCCAACGAACAACATTCATACGACAAACTCATCGTCATGCACGTGCGCCTCACCCCAACCGTGCGTCGCAAAGCCGCCGTTATGAAGTGCTGCGTGGCAATACTCCTGCTGACGAAGCTTGGGCTCCTCACTCCCTGGATGATACTCAGTGGAGTACGCATGAAACCGTTTCAATAATCTCTCAACGATCTCTGGATGTTCCTCGGACAGGTCGTGATGCTCTGCCACGTCCTCCTTCACATTGAAAAGACACGGCCTGGCCACAGAACAGAGCGTAAGATACTGACTCTCTGGATTCCAAGAGGAATTTGGGCTGAAGTGTCCATAATGTCCAGCAAAGCCGAATGTTCCAACCATCAACTTGTAGTCCCCAACTCGCAGGGACCCAGTACCACTGCATGGCATAATCTGAGTCACGTTGTGTTCAGCCATGCATGCTCCGGTAAAAACTTGATCGAACATGAGGTGATCGAACACGATCTCTGTACGGGGCGATGACACAGCCACTCCACTCAAATATGGCCACATGTTGTGTGAATCAACGGGTGCGGGGCTCTGCTGGTTTGGCTCTGCAGGATCAACCGCTGCCAGATGTAAGAATGTGGCGAAGTAGTCCCAAATAGCTATGATGCCGTCGAGCGTTTTTCCACGCATGGTATCCGGAAGAACACCTCCATTTACCAACGCTGGAACCCGAGTTCCTCCTTCCCAGCCGCTGCCTTTGTTGCCTCGCAGGGGCGCGTTGCTACCAGCAACCTGGCAGGGAGATCCATTGTCTGTCGTCCAGACGAACAAAGTATTCTCCCACATGCCAGCAGCCTTGAGCGCCGTAGTTACGTTCGCAACTGTGCTGTCAACGACAGATACCATTGCATCAAAAGTGTTCCGCTTGTCCAAATCATACTTGTACATGGCTTTGAATTCGTCCGGTGCTTCAACAGGAGCATGGGTGTTGTGCAGTGCCAGATACATGAACAGAGGCTTATCCCTGTACTGCTCAGCGTGACGTTCGATCACAGCGACGGCCTTTGCACAGAAATCAAAACCTGTGTACCTTTTAGTCTTACACTGAAAGCAGGTTCGGGTTTGATTATCGAAAGCACAATTTGCGAAAGATCCTGAAGCACAATGCTGCAATGCACTCTCCGATGAAGTGTTCCGGCTGATGACTGTAAATCCACTGGCCCTTTCGCGTGTGAGACGCCGTCGTCGTATTCGTCGTCGCCGCCATTCCCAAGGAAAGTCAAAAACGAGCAGAGAAAAGAAGCGTCGTAGTGACTTGATTCCCTCCCCTATTCCCCTCCCTGACGGGTGGGGGTAGGAGGGGGGTCCCAGTTCAGATTAGCGCCCCTCCCTGGGATTCCCGCAGCACCCCCAATCACCTCCACGATCCCCCCTGTGCAGGAAGAAGAAAAAGGGCGGTCCCCCCTGTAGGGGGGGATCCTAGAGGAGGGTCCCGGGGTAAGTCCCGACTGTATCGGGAGCGGCCAAGAGGGGGGTGTCCAAGAGGGGGGGTGCAAATCATGACCGGCGGCATGTGCGCGGCCCATCGGGGGGGCCAGAGACGTAATGAAATAAGAAGGGGCGCCATGAAATCTGGGGAGATATCATGGCCCCCGCCATGATATCCACCCCCCCCTAGTCATCACCCCCCTCTTTTCCGCCCCGACTGTAGTGGGGGAAGGGTGGCCCCGGGTCAGAACGCCGACCCCACCCCAGGGGTCCTGGCGGGTCCCAGGGGGGATGCCGCCAGCGGGGGTCCCCTGGGAGGTCCCGCCTTCAGGGTCGGCGGCACAGGCCGTAAGGCCTTCACGATAGTGGGCAGGCATGTCGGTCAGCGACGGGAACACTGCATTGGCTGATTGCCCTGCCTGAAATTGGGGCTGGTCCACCTTGCTCCCAGTAATCGGTGACATCTCCGTAGGCACCCTTGCCCCATGCAGGGCAACGCATGTTGACTTGCGTGAAATGGTCCTCGCCTCCAGCAAGAAAACCATATGACTCGTCGAAGCCACGACTGACCGGCAACATTTCCTTCAACGCGAATCCTTGGTGCCACTTCCCAATCTGGTAACTACGGTATCCAGCCTCTCTCAGACGCTTCGGGAGCATAGTGAAGCGAAGGTCAGTCGACTCTGGTCGTGTGATAGGTAATATATTGCTGCGAATATTGGCGAGTTTGTAAGGAGAGCGTCCCGTGAGGAAAGCAGCCCTTGTCGGCGAGCAGAACCGGTATACATAGTGACTCGTGAGCTTGACTCCATCTGTCGCCAAATAGTTGATTGTCGGCGAATGAATGTCCACGTTGTTCCAAACGCTGTTCCACCCGAGATCGTCGGTGAGAACGAACACGATGTGCGGTTTGGTACCATTGCCAATGGTCCCTTGTGCACCACCCAAATTCCCCAAGACAACCAGGAGGAGGCTTAACATCATTGCCAAAACGTGCTACAACAAACACAAGCTTGGCAAGGACAATATCCCTTGAAGTGAACCACGACCGCTTGAGCCAAAATGACCATAGTACCCAATTCGGGATCTCCTTTGGCCGTCTTCAACCCTCAGAAGATGATTGCAAGACGGTGTTGGGAACATCTAATGTTAGCTCCTGCTCCTGATCCTCCTCCGACGCGACATGTTTCATATGTTGGAGGACGTCTCCAGCGGAACGAGACTTTCCAGAAAGTGCATGATTGCCGTTTCGAGGCCCTTCAAGAGTGATCCAAGGATGTTCAAAGCGTATTGTTTTCCAACGGTGATGTTGGACATTGCTCATTTTTGAACATGTCCCAAGCGACATCGCGACGTTCGGCAGTCATGAGGGCGTCATTGGAGTGATATCGCTACCCTTCGGGGGCTCTAGTGGGCCGTATTGAAACGCTTGAAAAAAAATGCAGAGGATGCGGCTAACATCTTCATTGTTTGAGGATGTCTGTAGCGAAACCGTCATGCTTCGACACCTCGTCGAAACGCATATGACACAAACGCTCCATGGACATCATCACAATTGTTAGAGGATGTCCGCAGCAAGAGCGGCGTTTGCAACAAAAGGTGGTATCACAGCTCGTTCAACACCAATATCTGTCCAAGACGTATCAGTCGAAACAGCCATTCTTGAACACGTGGTACTACTCGCGATTCCCAGCTTGGAAAGACGTTGTAAATAGCTCATGTTTGTGAGGATGTTTCTGGCGAAATGATCATCTTGAGGAACCTTTCTTGACATGAACGGGACGCGCCTGAACGCCGAAGAACTGTGCAAGAACTTGCAACACCATCGCGACCAAATGTAACTAGTGTAGGCGAGCCCCCTCAATGTCCACAGAAGATACCTACAGACATGCGCTCTCCTGCCATTCGGAAACTTGCTCCTGCTGTTTCTCCTAACCCCTCCGCACTCCTCTAGGTTTCGCCGTCTCCCCCTCACTTGAATTACCATCTGTATCATCAGCATCGCCACTATCACCAACACCACCATCCCACCATCCCCATCGTCAGCATCACCATCATACTAAGCATCTGCATCATACCATGACGTTTTCGAACACCTGCCAGACGGTCGTGTTTGAGGATGTCTCGAGCAACTCGCTTACGGTTGAACAAGCATATTGGGAACCATTGTCTTTTATTCAATGGTTTCGCCTCTTGAAGATGTCGTACAACAGCTAGTTTAACATCTCATTGTCGCAGGATGTCTCGGACGAGAGTCTCATTTTCGAAGGTCCGAATGTTTCGTCAACGATTTCAGCATCTCCGTTTCTGAGGATGTCTCGAGCGAGAGTTTCATTGTTGACATGGGAGGTCTAAAACCAACTCTTTCAACATCGTATTACTCCGAGGACGTCCCAGGCAAACGCCATGTGTTCGAAAAACCTTTCTTGACAAGAACGGGAAGCGCATGAAAGCCAAGAGCTGCGTACGAACGTGCGCCAGCATCACCATCAACTATACTGTAGGCGAGCTCCCTGAACTTCCACAATGGATACCCATGGACACGCGCTGCCCGATTATAAGCAAGCCTGTCCCTGATTATCCTTTGTACGCCTACATGTTCCTCAGTCGCTTACTGAAACCATCATCTTTATCGTCAGTACCGTCACCAGCACCATCACCACCCCCATCATCACAGCATCCTCATCATCATCCTCATCCTCATCATCAACATCATACTAGGCATCTTGAACATACCATATCGTGTCCGAAGACCCGTCCGAAGGTTTGTCAAGGATGTCTTGAGGGAAACGCGTACGTTGAACAGCAGTGTTGAACTACAATCTGTTTTTTGAATTTGTTCGCCTTTTCGGTCCTCTTGGAGGTACTCCAAGAAAAATCCAAGAAGACATCGATACACAATTATTATGATACCTCGGTTGTTCGAGGAAGTCTCGAGCGAAAGCCTCAGGCCTGAAGATCCGACGATTACGCCAGTGATTTCGACATCCCCATGTTGTGCGAATGTCTCAGGCGAAACGCTCATGCTTCAGAAGCGATGTCGTAAACGATAGGTGAGCGTTTCTTTATTGTACTTGGCGTTTCGATATTGGGCGGAAGGGGGGGGGAAGAGAAGGGTTTGGCTCTAGACCTCTGCTCAGTGCGACTGCTTGCAAACAGTGCGTCCTGTGTGGGAGGCTACGCCTGCTTGAAACAGGCGCCAAAAATACTCAAGATCTACTCTCTGGGGGGAGAGGGGGGTGCGAGGGCCCGCGCCGATCGGCAAAACAATGAATCAGAAAACGATAACTAGCCTCCGCCATATCTATTGTTTGAGGATGTCTCGAGCGAAACGGCCATACTCGAAGATCAGGACATTACGCCGGTGATCTCAACATCCCCACTTTCTGAGGATGTCGCAGGCGACACGCTTATCACGAACCGCTCTTGACGTGAACAGGAAACGCGTGTAGCGACGAACCGTGCAAGAACGCGCAGCAGCATCACGACCAAGTGTACCGCAGTCAAGCCCACGGAGGCCCAAGTCGAGGAACAACAGGCGGGACTGAAGAACTCGAGGCCCCCCGCTCGCCTCATGGCGAGCATCCTTCGCCTCGCCGCCGCCACCCTCCCTCGGCGCAGGCCGTTGTCGTGGTCGCCGTTGCCCTCAGAGCCATCCGCCGCCATCGCCCTCCGTCCCCAGACCCCCGACGTCGTGATTTGTTTCGCAACGCCGACCCCCAGGAGCCTGGACACCCTCCCAAGGACAGGCTTTGCATCCTCAGTTGTTTTTCGGGGATGGACAGACCTCCCTTTAGTAAAACGTGGTTTAGTGAAAACGACCTGAGGCCCAAACCTGGCGGGCGCAAGCCTGGAAAATAACGGCCACGGCGCCCTCTCGAGAACCGAAAACGGACAATTCACTGTTGGGGGTTCTGTCCACCCCCGAGTTTTGTGGACGGCCCCGGGGCCCAGTAGAAAGGCCTCCAGAGGCCGAACGCGGCGACAAAAACCTCCCGTCGTGATCTCTTCACAGCGCAAGGGGATCTGGGTCCTCCCCCTCCGCCTCCTCCTCCTCCTCCTCCTCCTCCTCCTCCTCCTCCCCCCCTTCCCTCCTCCTCCTCCTTCTCCTCCGCCTCCTCCTCCTCCTCCTCCACCTCCTCCTCCTCCTCCTCCTCCTCCTCCTCCTCCTCCCCCCTCCTCCCCCCTCCTCCCCCCTCCTCCTCCTGCCTGGGTCGTCGTCGTGGTCGCGGCCGCCCTCGTGAGCGTCGTCGCCGCCGCCGCCGCCGCCGGAAAACCCGCCCGGGGCCTGGCCTCCCGCGGCGTGCCCCGCGGCCCGCGCCGCCGCTCCTGCCAGGACCTGGCCTCCCGCACCTCTCGGGGCCAGAGGCCGACAGGGGCGGAGGGGAAGGAGAGGGAGGGAGCGACGGAGCTACGAGGAGGGAGGGAGGGAGGGAGGGAGGAGGGATGAGGAGGAGGAAGGGGGGGGGAGGTGGGAGGAGGGGGGGAGGGGGAGGAGGAGGAGGAGGAGGAGGAGGAGGAGGAGGAGGGAGGGGGAGGGGGGAGGGGGAGGGGGAGGGGGAGGGGGAGGGGGAGGGGGAGGAGGAGGAGGAGGAGGAGGAGGAGGAGGAGGAGAGGAGGAGGAGGAGGAGGAGGAGGAGGAGGAGGAGGAGGAGGAGGAGGAGGGGGTGCCACAGCCAGACACGCCGCCGAAGTGCGCTGCCACAGCCAGAGACGTCCTCCGAGGCGGGCGTCCGGGCCACACGCCGCTGGAGAGCTCCAGCCGCGCGGGCGGAGCGGCCGCCTCCAAGCAAGCGGACGGCCCGCCATGGTCGACCGCCAGCTGCCGTAGGTGACTACCTACCAGACCACCCCAACCCAACCCGAAGACCCGAATCTCGGGTTGGGTTGGGGTAAGGGTTCCACATGTGTTTTTTCTATGTTTCCTGACCCCCCCCCACTGGAAATCGAGGGTGAATCTGAGCCTTCGGGTTGGGTTGGGGTGGTTTGGTGGGTGGTGAGTAGGGAGACCGCAGAGAACGCACGCGCCCAACTAATTACGCACACGAGCCCGGCCCCTTGACCAGCGAGACCGGCCGCGCGACGCGAACACTCGCGAGATGCGAACTCCTGACAGCAGCAGGGATTCATGTACGTGTACGTCCTTCTTTCGCTCCTGATGCTGGGAGGACTCGCCCAGGTGCTGCTTCGGGGCCCCGAGGTGGGAGGTGCCAGTGCCCACGACGCCCCGGCACGAGCCGTCGCTGCAACGATCGAGCCTCTGGTTCCCGATGGCTACCCGGGGGATCTGCACCTGCCAGCGCCCGTGCCGCTGCATGACCAGGGGAGCCTCCTGAGGGCCTGCTGGGGGCCTCTTGGGGCCTCTTAGGGGCCTCTTGGGGACTCCTGGGGGGCTTCTTAGGGCGAGGGCTCAGCATGTTGTGTCGTGCTCCCCCCCTGGGACCTCTCTTGGGGCGTTCTTGGGGCCTTCTTGGGCCGTCTTGGAGGCCTCTTGGTGGTCCTGATTGAGCCCGCCGCGCGCGATCTCGCTGGACCGCTGCCCCCGCCGTCGGAGAGGACGGCCCCGCACTGCGCGGCGGTGCCGCTCCCGGAGCCTGCCAAGAGCTGCTCGGGAGGCCAAGCTCCGGCGCAACGGCGAGGCCCTCCAACTCGCCATCGCTCGGACGTCCATTTGTTGTGTCTTTTTGTGGTTTCGTGCGTGTTTTTTCCCTACCTAGGCTCTGCCTAGAAGGGTTCTTACTCTCTAGCTTAAAGGGGCCGGGCAGTGGAAAGCGCCCCGGGCGGTTCCCCCAGTCCCCGCCCCGCGGTTCCCCCAGTCCCCGCCCCCCTAGGTTCACCCAGCTTAGCTTAGCTTAGCTTAGCTAAGCTTAGCTTGGCTTAGCTTAGCTTATCTCATCTGAGCTTAGCTTAGCTTAGCTTAGCTTTGCCTAGCCTAGCTTAGCTAAGCGTAGCCTAGCTCATCTTAGCTTAGCTTAGCTGAGCTTAGCTGGGCTTAATTTAGCATGGCTTAGCTTAGCTTAGCTTAGCTTAGCGCAGCATGAGCGCAGCATAGCATAGCATAGCATCGCCAAGCATAGCATAGCATAGCACAGC